TTCCACGCCCGAGAAGACTCACCGAGAAAGTTGAGCACGGCGACGCTGTCCGTCAGCGCGCGGAACTTGGTGTCCTGCTCGCGCCCCGTCGTCTCTGCGAGCGGCACGACGAGCGTGGGCACCGTGCCGGCGCTGTTGACGCGCAGATAGGTGGGCGCGACTGGGGAGTGAACGAGGGGCAAGCAAGGGCGAGTCGAGGCGAAGGGGGGACAAGCGCGGCCAGCGTAGGGCCATGCGTCAGCCCGGGAAAGGAGCAAGGCGAAAGGGGGAGCCAACAGAAAGGCAAACACGCACAGTTCTCGCCCTTGAGCAGGTCGACGGAGCGCATCTCGACATCAGAGGCGGCGTAGCCCTTCTCGATGAGCCTGCGTGGTGAAGGCGTGGGTTGGAGCTGTGTGAGCACGCGGGCAAGGTGGACAGATGCACTGCAGGCACTGCACTCACCCGATGCGCGCTGATAGAGACGAGGTGCGAGAGAGAGACGTGCGTCAGCCCCATGCCATCCACTGCGGCAGCACTGGCTCGCTCGCACGACGACGCTGCGGCGCAACTTGGGACATGCAGATCCGCTCGCCCTTGGAGTACTGCCGCCGCTGGCGTCGCCGTCGCCGTCGCCGTCGCAAGTGTGCAGCGGCGCGCCGATGGTCGCGAGCAGCGAGAGCCAGGCGCATGTCGCAGGTGAGCTGATCTGCAGCGCACTTGCAGCCGCAGGTCGACCATCGCCCTGCCACGTCCATCTGCCGACCTGTCGCCGCTCCTGCAGCGGCTACGCGAGCGGAGCGCTGCAGAGTGCGGGTCCGCTCGTCTGGGTGTGAGACTCGAGCTCGCCGCGCCGGACAAGGACGGTGCAACCGCAGCGCCGCGCGCTGCATTCTCACCTTCACTCCGCTCGCACGCTGCCTCCATCTACCCCCGTGCCTGTCTCGCAACCTGCCGCCATCGCCGCACTGGCCGCCTTCGTCGCATCTTCTCGCCTCTGCCCTCGGCATCCCCCTCTCCGCACGCAACGCTCCACGCTCCGCGTCAAAGGGCCCACACTCACGCACGCTGCCCCACACACTGCCGCTGAACGTGTACAGCAGCGCACGGCCCGCCTCGTGCTGCGACGCCGGCGCCGGCGCCGGCGACGGCGACGGCGACGCGGCGGCGGCGGCGGCGGCGGCGGCGGAGGGTGCGGAGGGTGCGGACATGCCCGATGGGGGTTGGAATGTGTGGTAGGTGAGAGGGAGTGGGAGTGGAGGTGGGAAGGAAGAAGCGAGCGCGGTGCGCCGCGCGGTGATGCACCGAGTCCGAGTAAGCCCCGCGCGCCAGCGCACAGCCGCAGAGAGCAGCGCCGCGCCCGCGCCCGTGCGGGGCGCGCGCCGTGCTCCGCTCGGTGACTTTCGCTGCGCCGAGCCGGCGGCGCGCGGCGCCGACAGCGACTAGACTCTTACTCTTACTCTGACTCGCAGCTCGGGCGTGGTGCCTCGCCTCGCCGTCGCCTCCTCGAGCTCTCACCGCCAGCTCGACTCCACCACCACCGCCGCCGCCGCCGAGGTCACGCCTCACCTTTCCCGCACGTTGGCGTTACACCCTCTGCCTGCCCTTTCTATATGCCCCGCCTCACCCGGTGCTGCTGCCTCGATGCATGCGTGATGCGTGTTGCGCTGGCATCCACCCCCCCCCTGTCGTTGTCGCTGCGCCGCACTCTGCCTCCTTACGAACCGTCAACTGAATTCCCGGCATTCGATCGCGCGGCATGCGGCGCGCGCATGACCCGACGCTCCTGACCCCCTGAGTCCACGGTTCTGCCTCTCGACTGCGACCTCTCGCTTCGCGCGCGTCGGCGGCGGCGGCGAACAGGAGGGGTGCGGCTGCTGGCTGTTATGCTGCGCGCTCTCTCTGCGTGCTCGGGTGGCAGCCGTCGGGCATTCTTCTTCACCCAAGATCCTCCACGCGGGGGGGGGGGGGGGGGGGGGGGGGGGGGGGTTTCAGGGCCCCCCCAAGGGGCCCCCCCCCCCCCCCCCCCCTGCACCCCCCGCCCGTCGAGGCCCCCCTTTGCGTGCGCTGCGAGTAGGCGCGCCCAGCGTCCACACGCTGCGGCGTTTTTTTGCAAAGGGGGCGACCTTGCAAGCGCACTGGCAGAGCTGGAGGCGAAGTCACGTAGGCGCACAGCAGGCTCGAGACGATGAGCCTTGTCGGCGCGACGCTGGCGCGCGCGAAGCGTGAAGAGCGCAAGAGCGCAGCTTGCCCTTGGTCCTCCGCCAGCACCAACCCCCCCCCCCACCCCCTTCTCTGACCCCCCCGCATGCCTTGTGCCGCGCCCATCATGCCCCTGCTGCGTCGCTCTGCTGGCTCGCCCCACTCTTGCGTTGGCCGTCGTGTGTGGGCGCCGTCGTGGCGCTGTGAGCAATTGCAACGCATGCGCGCGCGCGCGCGCCCATCGCTCGCTCGCTCGCTCGCGCGGCCGCACGGGCCTTTCTGGCGTGCGCATGCCGTGACGCGCGCGCGCCGCGTGACAAGTCAGCCAGCCTTGCTTCCCGACCACCGCCTCGACCTGCCACCGCCTTGCTCACCCGCCACCAACCCTCGCAGCCACCGCCCAGTGCCCGCTGCCCGCCTCGCGACGTGGGCTGCATGCTCGCCATGCTCGCACGCGCCTCGCCAGCGCCAGTGCTGCGCCTCGGCGCCCGCCTCGTGCGTGCCGCCAGCAGCAGCAGCTCGGCGAGCAGCAGCAGCGCGTCTGCGGCGCCTCGCCCGCCGCCGCGCACCCTCGCCGTCGCCGGCGGCGGCATTGCGGGCCTGACGGCGGCGCTGCTGCTGGCGCGCGCGCTGCCCGCGCGCCGCATCCTGCTGCTCGAGCGCAGCGCACGCACCGGCGGCTGGGTGCACAGCGAGCGGCGCGTGCTCGAAGGCGGCGCCGGCGACAAGGGCGCCACGGCGCTGCTGGAGAGTGGGCCGCGCAGCATCCGCCCCACGGGCGCGCCGGGCCTGGCGATGCTCGAGCTGGTGAGTTGGGTATGCTGGGTAGGCCACCACCCACTGGCATGCGCTGAGTTTGCCCGCCGCAGCTCGGCTCGCTCGGCCTGCTTCCCTCACTGCTGCTCGTGCCCAAGACGGCGCCGTCGGCGCAGAACCGCTTCGTCTGGCACACGTCGGCGCTCGTGCGTCTGCCCTCTTCGCTCCTCGCGCTGCCGCGCGCGCTGCGCTCGCGGCCGCTGCGCGCGCTGCTGCCGGCGCTGTGGCGCGAGTGGCGCACGCCGTCGCGCCATGCGCGGCCGCGCTCCGAGTCGGCCGCCGAGCAGGCACGGCAGCTGGCGCGCTCGGGCAGCGCAGATGAGAGCGTCGCGGCCTTCCTCACGCGCCGCATGGGGCGCGCGGGCACGCAGCTCGTCGACGACCTCGTCTCGGCCGTGCTGCACGGCATCTACGCCGGCAGTGCGCGCGAGCTCAGCGTGCGCGCCGTAATGCCGGCGCTGTGGGACATGGAGGCACGCAGTGGCGGCCTGCTGCGCAGCGTGCTGCCAAGGCGCCTCAACGCGCGTGCGCGCGCCGAGACGCCGGCGGAGCGCCTGGCGCGCGAGGAGGCGGAGCGCGAGCTGGCCGAGCTGGAGACGAGTGTGGGGCCGCACGTGGTGCGGCAGATGAAGAGCATCAGCGTGTATAGCTTGCCCGAGGGCATCGAGACGATCACGCGCGCCATGGAGAAGGAAGTGCGAGCCTTGCCCAACGTAGAGGTGTGCCTCGACGCCGGCGTGCAGCGGGCGAGTGTGCGCGACGACGGCATGGTGCAGGTGAGCTTCCCCCCCCCCCCATTGCAGCATGCGTAGGGAGCGCAAGCAGCATGCGTAGGGAGCGCAATGCGCACTGAGTACCTCTTTCCCTCTGCACAGCTAGAGACACGCTCAGGCACGCACGTCGTCTCTCGAGTCATCAGCGGCATGCCCGGCTCCGCCTTGGACGCCGCGCTGCGCGCCGCCGGCGACGAGGCGGCGGCGCTGCCGCACCTGGCGCACAATGCCTCTGCCGACGTCGGCGTCGTCAACGTGGCGCTGCCCGCTGGCCTCGTGGCGCAGCACGTGCGCAGCGGCGCGCGCGTGCTGCCCGTGCAGGGCTTTGGCTATCTGCTCCCCAGCGGCACGCCCAACGCCGCCGGCGTGCTCGGCGTCGTCTTTGACTCGGACTCGCTGCCCACGCAGGATGCCGCCGCGCCCACCGCAGAAGCAGCGGCGGCGGCACCGACGAAGCTCACCGTCATGCTTGGCGGGCCGCACTGGAAGGGGCGCACGCCGCTGCCGGACGCGCCGCAGCTGCGCCGCCTCGCGCTCGACGCGCTGCATGCGCATCTGGGCCTGCCTCGCGCGCTCCTCGACGACCCCGCGACGCTCGTCGTGGCGCGCCTGCAGCGCGCCTGCATCCCGCACTACGCCGTCGGCCATCTGGGGCGCATGCGGGAGCTGCACGCGGCGCTGAGCAGCGCGAGCTCGCCGTGGCGAGGCAGGCTGGCCCTCGTGGGCGCCAGCTGGACGGGCGTGAGTCTCAACGACTGCGTGCTGGGCGCGCGCCGCACGGCTCGGCGCATCATCGACGAGGAGCAGCAGCGCGAGGCCGGCGCGGCTCACTGGCACGCCACCACGACGGGCCTCGAGCGCTTTGCGCCGAGCCACGAGGCGCACGAGCGCGCCGCCGTCGGGCAGCACGAGGGCGCGCTGGGCGGCGGCATTCTCGGCAACGCTGCGTAGTGTCAAGGGACAAGCTGCGATGGCAATTGCGGCATGTAGTAGCGTGACAGAGAGAGAGAGGGGGGGGGGGCACGCCGCAGAGAAG